CAATTGTATTGTTTTTATCTGCCTCTAACAATTCTTTAAATAGCGATAACTAAGACCCGATAATTTTTTTTGTGATGATTGATATGATTAAACATACAAAATAATGATAATATATCATGATTTTTTTATGATAATTGATAGGATTTATCATATCATAATAATGATAATATATTTGAGTATAAATGTGTATTTCATACCAGAATGATCATATTTTAGTATAAATTAGTACTGAGTCTTGCCTACAAAATTAACCACACCGAAACCAAGCAATTTTTTAAATTTGTGTCTTAGGGTATAATTAATATATTTTTAATTATTAATTTATATAAAAAATAAAAGTTTAAGTTTAAGTCTAATAATTAATTAATTAAAATAATATATAATATTAATATTAAAATTAATATTAATTTTTTTATTTTTATATAATTTAAGTATTAAAAAACATATTAATTACACCTACCTTAAAGCTAAACTTTTTTAGTACCTAAATATTAAATCGTTTGAAATCAATTTAGTTTAAATTTTAATTTAAAAAAATTCAAAATTCAATCAAACTAAACTCATTAATTATAATTTCCGCGCACCCGTAATGATTGCTTAACCTCATTCCATTTTAGAAATAGAGGACAAAGATTTTTAAAATCACAAAATGCACAATAAATGGTTATAATAAGGGGTTTTAAAATAAAAAACGATTTAAGAATTATTTTTTTTATATTTTTTTAGGATGATGTTATACGAACAATTTTTTTGTTTTACATTTTTATACAACTTTCACATGTCATTAAATGATTGAATGTATTTAATATCATATGTCTCATATAGATTAAAAGAACCAATTATTTTAATGACACGTTAGGTTATACGAAAAAGTAGTACAAAAATGTAGGACAACAAGGTTGTACAAAAATTTTTTTTCATTTTTTTATAAGCTTATTTTTCATTTAACTAATTAACTCTTTTTATTTATTTAAAACTCATGATATTGAATATATTAATTCTTTTAATTATATATGAAAATTGTATAAAAAAGTAATATAAAAAATTATCCTTATATTATTGTTTTTTTTAAATTATTCAGAAGTGAATTTTTCTATCTTATATATTTAAAATATAAATTAAAAGTATAATAAATATTTTTTCATAATTAATTTCTATTAAAAGTGAAAATTTTGATTTTAATTTAATTAATTAACCAATTAAAGTCATTCACATGTTAGTAGTATTAAAATATATTTCAATTTTTATAATTTTTTATGTGAATTAAATATAAAAAATATAATTATTACACCTTCAATTGTGTCTTAAAGCATGGATTATACAAACTCTTATAAGTTAATGATATATTTATGGTATATTTTTATTATTAACTTATGTACAAAATTATGTAAATAAATTTTATTTTTAATATCAATGTAACGTAGAATATTTTAATTAAATAATTAATAAAATTAAAATAAAACATATCATTTAAATGATTAAATTTTTTTATTTATTTAAAAGATGTAATATTGATTATATACATTCATTTAATGATATATAAAATTATATAAAAATAATAAAAAAAATCGTTTTTATATTACCACCGTTGCACTAATTTTGCAGTTAAACATTTTTATTGCGAAAATATTTGTTTTTTGAAAATAAAATTTGCAAACCTTGATTTATTTTTTGAAATTTTGTTGCTGGTAACGGCCGGAATATTTCTTGCACTCTTAATAAATAAAATTTTATGCTGATTAAAAAAATTGATTATAATTTATTACACCATAATAATAAGAATATAATGCATGTTAGTTCCAACTACAAAAAAAATAAAGTCTCAACTTATATTTGAAAATTAAAATCTTAAATTAAAATTAAAAAATTTACTTTATTAAATATTGATATTTAAATTTGAAAACTTAATATATAATAAGTTTTCAAATTTAAATATCAATATTTAATACGAGAAATTTATAAATTTTTTATTAAGTTTTAATTAAATAAAATAATATTGTTTAAGATTGAGATTTTGATTTTTTTTGGAATTATGGGTAATATATTTTTTTTCTTTATAATAATAATAATAATAATAATAATAATAATAAGAGAAAGTGTACATTAATTTCAACTCTCAAAATAAATTAAAATCTTAATATTAAATTACGTCATTTTATGTAATTAAAACTTAATTAAAATTTTAAAAATTTAAAAATTTATCTTATTAAATATTAATATCTAAATTTGAAAGCAAATCATCTTAAGATTTGCTTCCAAATTTAGATATTGATATTTAATAGGCAAAACCATAAGTTAAGCCCCTGAACTAACCCCAGAATCGCTATTAAGCCCCTAGACTTTAATTGATGCAGTTAAGCCCTTAAACTCTGGGATCAAAGCAATTAAGCCCTTCTTCTTAAGCAATTTATTTTAAAAATTAAAGTCTAGGGGCTTAATGGCGTAAGAAGAAGGGCTTATTTGCTTTGATCCCAGAGTTCAAGGGTTTATCTGCATCAATTAAAGTATAGGGGCTTAATAGCAATTTTGGGGTTAGTTCAGGGGCTTAACTTATGGTTTTGCCTATTTAATAAGATGAGTTTTTAAATTTTAAATTAAAATTTTAGTTTTTAAATATCAATTAAAAAAAAATACACATAAGTCTCAACTCTAAAAAATAATTGGAATCTAACGTTAAATTATATCGTTTTATTTAATTAAAACTTAATTTAAAATTTAAAAAATTATTTTATTAATTATTGATATATTAGAATATATGGTAAGTTTTCAAATTTAGATATTAATATTTAATAAAATAAAATTTTAATTTTCAAATATAAATTAAGATTTTAATGATTTTTTAAAATTAAAATTAATACATGTTAATTTTAATTTTTTTAAAAATCAAAGCTGATACGTACTAAATTTCAATTATAATATTTCAGTATAAATTATGTAATGGAGTCATCACTAACAAAAAAAAAACAATAACACAGAACCAAACTTGAGACCCTGCTTCCCTAGTTCCCCAAAGCCAAAAATGGAGTCCCAAACCAACGGCTCAGCTCCCAAGCCGCTCAAGTTCTTGATCTATGGGCGTACCGGGTGGATCGGCGGCATGTTGGGGAAGGTCTGCCAATCCCAAGGGATTGACTTTCATTACGGATCCGGGCGCCTTGAGAATCGGGCCTCCTTAGAAGCCGACTTCGCCGCCGTTAAGCCGACCCATGTGTTCAATGCGGCTGGCCTCTCCGGCCGACCCAATGCCGATTGGTTTGAATCCCATAAGCTAGAGACCATAAGGACTAACGTCGTCGGGATCTTACAACTCGCCGACGTCTCCAGAGAGAATGGCTCGCTTTTGATTCACTTCGGCTCGGCTTGTCTCTTTAACTATGATGCGGATCATCCGGTCGGCTCGGGTATCGGGTTCACGGAAGAGGATACTCCAAATTTTTGTCGGTCCTTTTATGCAAAGACCAGGGCGTTGGTACGTAATATTGCATCCAAACTCTTCATTTAAAAAAAGAAAAAAAGAGTTTTTGGCCAAAGCGCTATTTGTACCCCATTCATTTTTTTTCTTTTAATCATCAATATTTTAAATTAATTTTTGTACTAATCAACACTTTTCACCATTTAAAATTTATAAAAATTTTAAAAATTAATGAACAAATCTTTTATTTACACTTTAAATTTATAGTTAAACCCTCTATTTACACTATAATTTTATTAGTGATTTAATATTTTTTACAAATTTTAAATTATAATGAGTGTTAACTGAGATAAAAATTAATTTAAAATATACGATATAAACAGAGAGTTTGATCAAAGGTTTTTTTGCCAACCATCTAAACTTTTCATGGAGGCATATTAAATTTAGAGATAGCTATTTTACGGTCTATTTTGTGTGAATTTTATGTTTTATAATTATCAATGAAAAAAAGAATTACCTCACTTATCTCTTATTGATTTAAGTTATCTTATTTTAATAGCAATTGTTTTTCTACGATGACAGGTGGAAGAACTCATGGTGAATTATGAGAATCTATGTATCTTGCGGGTTAGAATGCCCATCTCCTCTGATTTATATAATCCTCGGAACTTAGTCTTCAAACTCACCCAATACAAAAAGTTAATCAACGTTCCTAACTCAATATCTGTCCTAGATGAGCTCATTCCTATCACCATTGAGGTGGCAAAGAAGAACTTGACTGGAATCTGGAATTTAACTAATCCTGGAGTCATAAGTCACAATGAGCTCTTGGAAATGTACCGGGATTATGTTGATCCGAAGTTTAAATGGGAGAACTTTACCATAGAGGAGCAGGACAAGATTCTTGCTGCTCCAAGGTGCAACAATGAAATGGATGTCACCAAGCTGAAAAAGGAATTTCCTCATCTTCTTTCTGCAAAGGAATCGCTTATCAAGTATGTCTTCGAGCCAAACAAGAAGATTGCTGCCGCATGATGCCTAGTTTGCTCTTATGTTGTCTTTTAAACTTTCTATGATCTATGTTTCGATTATGTTGTATCAAAATTAGGTCCTACTAATAAACCCTGACTCGTAGTTTGTGTGGTTATTATATGGGCACTCCATCCACGCTACCAGGTTCAACTCCCTTGTATTCCCTTTTTTCCTCCCTCAATGCCTCAATTTCTCCTAATAGACCTCTGTCAGGCCCATCTATCTTACAAGCAATAAAATATTAAATTCTTATTGCATAAAGGCCAATTATTTATTTACTCTCTCTGTCTTACTAATTCTAGGAAAATATTATGTTCCATGTTATAAATATCCCCGACCTAGAGGGGTTTTTTTTATTATTTTATTTATTTAAGTATTATCATTAGCTTTCTTTTATTAATCATTAATAAAAATTACGCAATTCTACATATTTTTTTAGTGTTGAGTTGAGTTAGAGCTTATAACTCTGGACTCATACCCAATAGTACCTTGAAAAAGAATGCATCCCAAGCCACCGACCTATTATTTATTATTAGTTAAACCCCCAATTTGGTTCTTGAACTATTGTACAAACTCCTGATTTGATTCTTGAATTATTGTACGAGCTCTCAATTTAGTCTCTACTGTTTATCAATTTACCTCAAGTTCGTCCTTCACTCCTTCTGTACAAAAAAAAGTTAACATGTTCGTTACTTAACGACCATGTGTTACGTTACACATGTGTTACGTTAAGACCGTGATACATTTACCCTCACTGTTTACACCCTCCGTCACACACTTTCATTTTCTGTTACTCAATCCGTTAAACTCCAAACACTCGTTTCTT